CTTTCCAGCCCTGCCAGTTGTGATTTACTTGAACTAAACACAGCTCTGGCTATACCACATCTGCAGTTCTCAGTGCCAATCCTGGACACTTTGCATGACTCCAATTTCTAACATAAGCCACAATACCTGACCATTATCCCTGCACCACATGAAATGAGGGACAAGTTCGTTTTAGGCCTGCTGATGAGCAGGCTGTGGCAGTAGAAAAGGTGGTCACAGGCTGTAAATTAAAGCAGTCCATGGAGATGCTTGGGTTATAGCAGGGACACCTCTCATCTGGGAACATCTCTGCACTGTTGAACACTGTTCTCATTCAGTGTTCAGCAGCACACTATGTCTTGGGCACTGACTTCCTTCCATCTGCCCAGGCACTGCTCCAGGATCTACGAGTCAGGAGCAGTGGGGAAATAGCTGGTATGAAGGGACTGCTACTCTGAGGCCAGAATTAGGCTCTGCATTCATGAAATCTGTTATTTCCAGGACAACAGGCTCTGAGAAGTACAGAGATGATTGCTTTCCAGGGAGAATAATAGAGTAAATGAAGGAAATGAGATCTCAAGTACAAATTCTTCTACAGACACAAAGGAGTTTGGTTTTAGTTTCAGAATTTATTCCTCTGTACATTGATCAGCAGTTACAGTTTAATGCCCCTTCACTTGTTTGTCTGTCCCCAGTGAGTGGCTACTACTAAATGGCTACATGTTCCAAGAGCTGTATGTTCCCAATTCCTATGTTCCTAGCAGTGTCATAGAAAACATGTTACCAAGGAGCTTCTGACAAAATCCCTTGATTTAAAATGTTCCTTATAGCTTTAATGATTGCTATTACTGGTCCTTCGTGGCAGGTAATCTGTGTGTTTGTCCTGCACCTCCAAGGTCTGTAATAACAAAACAACAGTAAAGATAAACTTCAATCAAATCTGGCTTGCTACCACAAATTCAGTGTGATTCAGCAAAGGTCATTATTACCTCAGTGCAGCTTTGGCACTTCTTGCTCTTTGAAGAAGAACACAAGAAATTGAAATGCACAGGAAAGGATCAAAATATAGGAACATCTACACTTTCTTGGATGCTCCACCAATAAGACAAACAGTTCATTTGATAGGGAGAAAAACACCTGCTTTCTCTCACAGGATTTTCTTTTGCTGCAAGCAGGAATAACTGTATTTCTGCCAGGAAACCACTAGCTACTCCACTTTGCTTCCTGCCTCACCTTGCTTCTATCTGACATTTGCTGCCACTCTTCCAGACAATTGAACTTCATTTCCTGACCCATCTTTTCTATTTGTACAGTCAGAAGCAGAAATAAGAAATGGAAGGCCTGTGACCCCTTCAGAGAAGGAAAATCTGTTTTCTCTCCCACACTGTGAGTTGGAGGGGGCCAAGGTGAAGAATAACATTGCACTGCTGGAGCTCTGGGCCTGATACTGTGTAAAGTGGGAAGGACTCTCACAGAACAGTAAGGTTTGGATCATGCCTCATTTTTATACAAGTACTTCAAGAGGGAAAAAGGAAAAAAACAAAACAACAACTAAAAAACACCCAACCATCAATGGAACTTTATTTTTAACTCCTCACATAGAAATTTAATCCTGACTCTGCAATTGCTACTTGTAAGTAATCCAGACATTCAGATTCTGTCATCCATGGTTTTCCTGGGCAAAGCTACAAGGGACTTCATTGATTTAAAAGGGCATTATCCAGCAGTACCTGCTGCTTTTCAAGCAGTTTCATTTATTTCAACTGGACTCTTTAGAGAGAAAATTATTACCTGCTGTCAAGAAGGTGTGACAGAGCATAGTTCTCTGTCAGTGACGGTATGTCACTAGGTTTTTTACAAGGATCACCCACATCAATATTGCCTGCAGAATTCACTTTTTAAGGAGTTTCATAACTAGCAAGCAAACAATTATAAGAGCCTCAGCTTAATTTAGGATCCCAATTCTGCAATTTTTTTTGTTTCAAGGGAAGGCAAGAAACAAGCTCTCATTAAAATTAGAAGCACCCTAGGTGTTTCATGTCCATATCCCTCACCTGGATTTTTTGGAAGGTTTTCAAAAACACAAGTATGATTTTAACCAAAAAGTTACTTAAAATAGTTACTTGGTAACTATAAATATACATATACATACACACCCACACATAGATATAGATATATATATCTCACCATCACTGTTCTACTTGGTGCATCTGTTTCTTCAAGGCATCTCTACTGGCCCATCAGCACTATGAACCTTTTCCTCCTTAAACTTGCCAGAATTAACCAGCTGGTTATACCTCAGCCATGGGGCACAGTTCCAATCCAGTGCTACCTGACAGCCAATTCCTGAGTGCAACACCGACGTCTCTCCCAGCAGGGATCTGTTACTGCTGCTGTTATTGCTCACCTCCAGACTGGGAAGCACTTCCAGCCTTTGGCATCTTCTGCCAAAAACCCCTCTAATGCTCCTCGGATAGTGCAGGGCACCTGAAGTGAGAACTGACATACATGCAGAGGGCAATCCACATCCAGAGTAAGGGTGACAGAAGGAAAATGTTGCCAGGGAGAGCATGACAGGTGGGCGTTCTCAGGGAGGGAAGGGATGAAAGAAAGCAGAGGGAGGAGAGGCATTAAGGGAGAAAGAAATGGTAAATTAGGGTGAGCTGATGGGCAAACCAAGAGATATGGAACAGAATTTGCCCCATCAGAGAGAAGGACAGAGCTGACGCTGACAGCTTGATCACCTCTGCATGTGGAAAAGCAATGCTGGATCACCTCCCCAGGTTTGCCACATATCCTGGCAATGTTATTCTTGTGTTTGCAGGTTAAAACAAAAAAAGGGTTTTGCCAAAGGAACATTCATGTTGTGTTTGAAGATTCCCCTCCAGAATTCACTGGGAAACTGCTACTCTTCCTGTGGATGTGATGGATCCTGCTTATAAGCTTAAATAAGATCAGGATGAAACTCAGCGAATAAGTCTCAGTCTCTTAGAAAGAAAACTGAGAAGAAATGCATCCTGAATGCCAGCTCCCCTGATCCATGGGTTCATTACATGAGCACGTGTACACATGGGCATCAGCCCTTCCTTTAGGTGAGGAGTAAACAGCTGGCAACCCTTCCAAAATGGGGAGTCAGCTTACACTGACAGAGCTCTTCTGTCAGTACAGCCTAAACCAGCTCCCAGACACTGCATCAGCAAAAAGCACACACCTGCCACCCATGCTGGGCTCACGCTAGGGCTTCTGCAGACACAACTATGACAAGCAGGAGCCAGACTTTTTTCTGCCAAAACTGACATACCAACATGTCTCTAGATCGGCTCAAGCAGCAACGCCTCAGTTCATTTAGCTTCCCAGAATTTTAGATGCCAAACAAGTAGTCCTGTGTGAGTATGTGTGTATGTAAAAGACACAGCATGCAGAACCACTACAACTGATCAGCTGGCTTTTGTAATTGGAAATATTATACATTAACTCTAAGCAATACATTCCTCATACTTATAACAATATGGACAGAAATTTGGTGCTAACTAGGGGGTGAAGATCGTAGGAAAAAAAAAAGAATGCCTCTAGAGGAGACATTCTCAAGTTTTCTAACACATTTTATGTTTTTGCACAGAAGACACCTTAATTAACCAATATATATTAAAAACATCTCCAACACATTACAATCCAAATCTGCAAGTCTAATCACATATAATTACCAGTGCTGTTATCTCTTGCAAGAATCTGGGGACACAACCTACAGACTTCTATTTGTGACCATAATAACGTGTTTCCTACCAGGACTCAAAATCAAAGTTAGAGGAGTGAGGCCCTGCAGGATTAGCCCAAAATGAACAGAAATGTTCCATGCCTCTTTAGATATCTCTGACATCCATACAGGTCATCTTTTGCTATTGGGAAGGGACTGGACTTAGCGAGTACAACAGGAAATCACAAAAACATAAAGAATCTTTTCCACAGGCAGGAGTGAGAGTAAGAATATATGACAGAAAGCAGGGAGAATTTATAGAGAGTATTGCCAAGCACTTTGGTGCCATGGCATGGTTGACAGCATCATCATGCAGAGAGCCTGACTTACGGGACACAAGGAGCCAACCCCAACCCTTCTGAAGGGACACAGCTTTCCTGTCAGCAAGGTGTGTCCCCAAAATGAATGAGACCTCCCACACTAAGTGCCACTAAGGCACTGCGAGATTACAGACAATCTCTGGGATAAGAAGAAGGATATGGTTTTTAATACAGGAGGTTATTTTAAACCAGAAACAATTAATTGCTCATTGCTTTAACACTATGTAGTGAGCAGTATTCAAGGAAAAATAGCCCAAGCACATCAATGAAGTGCATAATTTGCTTATTAAAATGTATTGAGATATGTATTGAGATACTGATACAAAGTCTGTGTTGGTAGATAAAATATGCATGCATTTACTCTTACTTACCAGACTTAGGGATCTGTTTATGTCTGTTTATGTCTTTGCTTACCCCACTAACACTGTAAAAAGAAATAAAGAGAAAAAAAACCCCAAAGAACGGCAAATTCAGAACAAAGAGAATATTCTTAAATGGCTCTCCCGACTGGCAGTAAATGCACCTGTTTCTCACTCTTAGGACACACAAGGAAACAATGAGAATAAAGCTCTTCTCCAAGAGTGGTGCTTTTTGACTGGCTAATTACTGCTCACGTCCAGTCTGTAACAGTGTCCAGTCTGTAAAAGAGTTAAACTCCCGCGGGACCCCCAGGACACCTGGCAGCCTTCTCACTGTGCGGAAACCACCAGCGCAGGAGTGACGGCTGGGACAGATGAGACGGAGGATCACGGGTGCCTGGGGGAGGGAGCAGGGGCTTTCCTCCCCATCCCCACCCTTACCTGGGCAGCCTCGGGCAGGGGCACCACGGCGTTCCTCCTGCGGCCCCCCATATGGAACTTGGACGCCTTGTAGATCTTCCAGTAGACGAACAGCACCACGCAGAGGGGCAGGTAGAAAGCCCCGCCGGTGGAGACGATGGTATAGGAGGGGTCCTGGCTGACCTGGCAGCGCTCCTGCTCAGGGCTGTAGGTCTCGCCCCAGCCGAAGAGGGGGGCGAGGGAGATGGCGGCGGAGAGCACCCAGGTGAGCGCGATCATCACGTTGGAGATGCGGCGGCGGGTGAGAAGCGTGTACTGCAGGTGGCGGGTGATGGACCAGTAGCGGTCCAGGGCGATGGCAGTCACGTTCCAGATGCTGGCGGTGCAGCACAGCACGTCGAAGCTGACCCACACGAGGCACAGCTCCCGGCCCAGCGCCACACCCGCCCGGCCGAAAGCTCCTTCACCAGGCTCAGCGGCATCACCAGCGCCGCCACCAGCGCGTCCGACACCGCCGTGGAGGCCACGAGGTTGTGGGGCACCCGGTGGAAGGCCTTCACCCGCAGGATGGTCGCCAGCACCAGCAGGTTCCAGAGGAAGGTGGCCACGGTGAGGAGCACCAGCAGGGTCAGGACGAGGACGGTGAAGATGGAGAAGGGCTCCCGGCCCCTCCACGCGCTGCCGCCCATCAGCGCGGGGGCGGCCGAGGAGGAGGCGTTGGGTCCATGTTGGTGTACGAGGCGTTGGCGCCATGCCGGCCTGGCATGGCCCCTGTGGGCTGCAAGGGGCTCCAGTGCTCCCATGCCCGGACGGGGTTCGACCCCTCACTCTTCCCCCTTACCCAGTCCGCCGGCACAGGTCCCCAGGCCGCCCCGCTGCCGCGGGTCGGGAACCCGCACCGGACGTACGCGCCCCCTCACGCCCGCCCGCCATGTCAGGCCGCCCCAGCGCAGCCCGCGCTCCCGCCGCGCTCCTCACACACCCGGCGGCTGCAGGAGGACAGGAAGCTCCGCCGGGACGGCGCGCGAGGAGGCAGGCACGGGCGAGGATGGAGGGAGGGCGCAACCTGCCCTCCGCCCCGGCCCGCAGCGGCCGCCCCGGGGGCGGTGGCGAGCCGCTCGGCGCGCCGCTCCTGAGGGTAGGTGCTCACGTCGGTCGCCCCGCGGTCCCCGGGAGGCGGCCGGACACCCTCTCCTCACAGAATTGTCAGGGTTGGAAGGGACCTCTGGAGATCACGCAGTCCAACTCCCTGCCGAGACAGGGTCACCTGGAGCAGGGGATACAGGAACGCGTCCAGGTGGGTCTGGAATGTCTCCAGAGAAGGAGACTCCACAACCCCCCTGGGCAGCTGTTCCAGGGCTTTGCCACCCTCAGCGTAAAGTTCTTCCTCGTGTTGAGGTGAAACTTCTTATTTTTTAGTTTAAGGCCATTGCTCCTCGTCCTGTCGCTGAGCACCAACAGGGTCTGGCACCGTCCTCTTGGCACTCGCCTTTGGGATATTTATGTGCATTAATGAGACCCCCTCTCAGTCTCCTCTAGTCTAAAGAGGCCCAGCTCTTGAAGTCTCTCCTCATAAGAGAGATGCTCCAGACCTCTCATCATCTTTGTGGCCTCTGCTGAACTCTCTCCAGTAGCTCCTTGTCTTGTCCTGAGGAGCCCAGAACTGCTCACAGCACTGCCGGTGTGGCCTCACTAGGGCTGAGCAGACAGGAGAAGTCTGTGTGTCCCCACAGCCTGTGCAGTGACAAGACACCCCCTTCTCCCCACAGCCTCCATGAGGTGACAGAACACCCCCTACTCCAACTCCCCCCAAACTCAAGATGTTCCAGAAATTATTTTAAACCCATTACACAAACTTTTTTAAAGTCTGTAATAGAAGTTAACAATGTGGTAGCATAAAGGAGATATAGCGATTCAATTTCTTACTTCCTGAGTAATAAATCATGGAATATACAATCACAGATGGTTTGGGTTGGAAGGGACCCTAAAGATCATCTCGTTCCAACCCCTGCCATGGGCAGGGACACCTTCCACTAGACCAGGTTGCTCTGAGCCTCATCCAACCTGGCCTTGAACAGTTCTAGGAATTGGACATCCACAACTTCTCTGGGCAAACTGTCCCAGTGTCTCACCATCCTCAGTAAATCACAGAATCATTAAGATTGGAAAAGATCTTTAAGATCATCAAGTCAACTTGGCGTAGTTGTAGTACTGTGACAGGATCGTATAGCAACCTGGGTGTTATATCTAAAGTGTGTTTAAAGCATTACATCTAAGGTATTTGGGAGTTATCCTTTATCCCAGCCTGCTTTCATTCCTGGGGTCCTTTACAACCCACTATCAGCATTTTCACCCTCTCTGTTTCCCCATTGTCTGTGATCAGGACTATTTCAATGTGAGTTGGTGGAAAAACACAGGCTCTTTTCCCTTACCAGGTCATATGGTGCTGTTGAGAGATATCCAAAGGGATTAGAAGAAATTGAGCATCTGTAAATAAGACCAAAGAAGGTCAGTGATGTTTGTTCCCTTGCAAATAGCAGCACACCTACATCACAAACTGTAGTGGGGCAGAATTTGGGGGCAGGAGATGGGCTGATGATTGTTGAGGTAGAGAAGGAGTATTTTCTGGGTCAGAATGGTCCTGTCTAGATGAATGCTGCTCAAATCAATGTTCTTCATTTGCATTCATATTCACTGAAGAAATAGCACCATTTGACAAAACACAAACCTCTCACAGCACCACTGTGTTACCCACAGCAAGCAGAATCCAGCTTGTCTTACTCAGGGGTCCCCAACTTCAGAATCTGGAACAGTGATAAAATATTACAGAAATTAAGGGCAATGACTGTAGTCAGAATAACCAGGCTGTTTTCTTGGTTAACTTTTGGATGCCACTTCACTCACCAGATGAATAATAAAGCAAATAAATCCTTTTTCAGGCCCTTAATGCAAACATGATTTCAGCTGTTCTTTCCTACAGTAATTCTGACACGTGTTCTAGTGTGAGCCAGCAGCAAAGAGAAGACTATCTGCATCACTTACCAGTTTTTATTATGAGGAGAAAAGGACTTCTGAGTGCTGAATGGGCTTCCTTTGCTTTGAGCTTCCAACGGGTAGAATCTGACAGAGCTTGTCAAAAAAAGGCTTTGCATAATACTGCTGCAAGTTAAGCCTAAAGCAGCACCTGAGACAGCTAGACACTGCTAAAAATTTGGCAGGCAGCATGTGACTGCTTCACAACCAGCTTTGCATGCTTTGCCTTATATCACTCCTTTCTAATTTGTGTCTCACTTTGTTAGTTAATGCCACTTTTAAAATGCCAGTGAAAGGATTACTGAGCAACACTTCGTTCATTTTAAAGGCAGCCAAACATGAAAGCAGGCAGGGAAACAAGCAGATAAAAAAGCCTTTTAACTTCTAAATGTTTCAACAATTGTCAGTCCAATTCTGTGAACTTAAGGACTAAAAGGATCTTGTCACAATGTGAATTAACTTGGTTATTAAAGAAAGACTGCATACAAACAAGCAAAACTTAGACTAACTGCAAAAGTTTCATGTTTAGGGGCCCAAATGGGCCAGGATATGATCTATTGGTTCCTGCTCCTGCAGCAAATGAGGTTGTCTTTTTCTTGTGTGAGGGTACTTCCTTGGCGGGTTGCAGACTATTCCTACTCTTAGACTTACAAGCAGATTACTGTTTTTGACCCTTTTGTTGCAGACCATCATTAAAGCAGCCCAGATGATCTCAAAATCTTCTTTTCCTAGAAGCCGTGTCCTCCATCCCTCTTCTCCTATTTATTACGTGTACATTACGTGCCACATCCTGAGAGTTACATTCCAGTTCACACATCAAATGCATTGAAATCTCCCACTTTTTCCTCCCTCTTGGCTGAAATAACCCAGTCCTATAATACAGAGGCTTGGATAAAGTCTCCAAGGGGTTTATTTTTTCTTGATAATTACCCCACTGCTGTCTTGTCCTGTGACTGCAAAGGCTTAGCACTCCTCAAAGATTGCTATGGCAACACTTTACAATGTCTCAGAAACCAGGGTATGCTTTGAAAAAGAGGGAATTATAAAAAAATGAGGAGACTTGCACGTATTGACTTATTCTAAATAACAGAAAAACAAATACAAATTACATGACACGATAAAATACATAGGTAAAAAAAACCTAAGAAAGTAAAAAACCAAAACTAAAACATTTTCCTTCTACTGAAACTAAAGGAGGACCTAGTTTAGTTTTATGCACAATTATAGTATGATAAGCTGCTGCCATGTCAAAGTGAACTGAAAAAAATGAAACCCCTTTGTTTCATTCACTGATACTTTTCAATGACTTCAGAAACTACGGTTTGAATCTTCATAGTTTTTTTTTTTCCAGTGGAGTATGACAGTGTGTAACCAACCATTTCATTGCTCTTAAAATAAGCAAACAAATATGTGACTAAGGGTGATAGAATTAACAGTGAATACCAAGTAACGTCATCTTTCCATCTGGATGTTTGGTTCTTTGTGGGCTGGGAAGTCTGAGGGATGCAAAACAAAAAAAGGGTGGAAATAGTAATCTGCTTGTAAGTCTTAGAGGAGAAATACTTTACATCTTCCTTTGCATCTGTTCTCACTTCTCCCTGTGTACCTGAGAATTGCTGAGAAGAGGACTTGTGACAGAGGCGAGGAATTGCAAAACATATTTCCTTGTCTTTATCACTTTACCAAACATCGCCCGCAGAACCCTCTCTTGAAATGAATCTCCTCAGACTCAGTCTTGTCATAATCTTTTTTTTTTTCTGTCAGTCTGGAAGTTCTTAACTTGGCTTAACCCTCCCTGCATCCTCATAATTCCTGCCCAAGCTCCCCTTTGCTCAGCTGTGCTAAGGAAGTGTTTGTCCTGACCAGGCAGCAATTGCCCAGGCCAGCTTGGTTATAGCACCCTGTTTCCAAGCACTTCCAAAAACAGAATGCTGCTTAGGAACAGCTTTGGAGGATGATGATTCATCCAGATAACAGAATTTCAACTCATTATGTGAAGTGATGCTGTATTTTTATAGCAAATATATAAAATTTAATGTTACATTTTTCAGAAGTTTTTTTTTTATGTGTTAGAGATAGAGGCAGATTACTTTTAGACCATTATAAAGGGACTACACTGAACTGACTTATTTTCCATTTTTGTTTTAGATTGAAAAGTCCTTTGAAAGCTTCATACAGTTTTGCTACAGATCATCTGCAATAGGGCTTAGTACTGGTAAAGGATTATTTTTCTAGTATTACAGAATTATCTCTTTTAGTACCACAAACCATTTTGCTAATTTTTCTTCTGCCACACTTAAAGAGAGGAATTCAAAGATATCAGTGAATACAATTTCTATAAAACCATGAAGTTGCTTTATGGTGGGGTTGGTTTGGTTTGGTTTTTTTAGCAATGTCATTTTAGGGTTCCATTTATGCCCTCAAATCACATTTTGTAGGTACTAGTGTTACTATGTACTTTCATAAATTCTTTCTCTGGTTTCTTAATAACGATAGAAAGGTGCCAGGGAGAACTTGCCTCCTCCTCTGTTTTCCCATACAGAAAGTGCTTTAAATCAGAAGTGATAATGTATCAGGAACATTTATCCAGAGACCCAATAACTCCTGCAAATTCACATAGTCTGTCAGCCCCTATGAGTGAACATCTAGGCTTAGTTCTGAGTGACATATCTGGTATTCCTGTAATTCTCAATATCCATAGGTGATTGCAACCACTCAAAGAGGAGCTCAGAAAGCCTGGGTGGTTCAACACATTGAGCTGACAGCCAAAATAGTTTTGAAGTTTTGGTACTGTTATATAAGATTTTGCAGAGCCTATGAATTTTTTTTTTTTTTAAATTTTGACCAACTGGTTAAAATAGTAGATGGTTATGTTTTTCAGTGTTGCAGCTTACAAAAGTGTTTAGGAAGATGGACTGCTATTGAAGAGTATGCTCAAGTTTGGTTTTTTCTTTTCTTTTTTTTTTCTTTAAAGTGAATACAGTTCTTAAGCTGGATGACACAGATATAGCAAAGTGAATGTGTTTCTAGACAGCACCCCAATTTTCCATTTGTCTTCCCTTCTCTTAATGGCATCTTTCCTCTACCTCTCCTCACAACTCCATATCAAAAGTTTATCGTGGTGGCTGAGAAAAAAAAATGTAATCTCTTCCCCACATGGCTGTGCAATAAAGAGATTTGACAGAAGCAACATCATGGTATTTATGATTTTGATGGAAGAAAGCAGATTTTTTAGAAGCTAAGAGCATTCCAGTTCAGGAGGCTGGGTTCCTATTGTCAGGGCTCAACATCATCTATAAATCTAAAAGCACTGGACAAACAAAAGCATCAAAAAGAGTTGCATGAATTCCCCTGTCAAGCCAAGCAGATAAAATCCTAAGAAAACCAAGCTGGTAGAGCAAAAGTCAAGAGCAGTGACAGACTTTATTCTTTACGCCCAGCCCCTTGCTTCTAGGCTTCTTTCAGCATTAATTTAGTTCAAATAAAACCCAGCCCCAACAACCAACCCACCTTTCAAGGGCTAATAACTGGCTTTTCTAGTTGTTAGGTTTTTAGGTCTCTGTAAAATCCCTTCTAAGTTTGGGGGGAGGGGTGGTGGTGAAATAACTGGAAAACTGTCTCCTAAACAGGACAGTGGTAGAACTACAAGCAAAAGTCACAGAGCTGTGCTGTGTTTTGTCAGCACCCTGCTTTCCTTCACAGTGGGACCTCTCCTAAAATGTTATTTTTTAAAATCACATGACCCTTTTCACTCTTCCTGTGAGAGCTTGCTTCCCCTGAGCCTCAGATCACTGGCTTGAAAGGAAATCATTTGAGTATCTAGAGCTTGGTAGCTTACTTAAATTGAGTCATCAACTCATACATCAAACAAAAAGGCTAATTATTGCCAAAACATAAACACTTTTTATTTACAGCAGACCTCGGCAGATAATATCTTACCCAGTTCTCAAGCATTCTTGCTCTACACCGTCAATAAATGTGCCCTTTACCTGTGACATTCACCCTGAAAAATTTGATGGCAACACTTTCTGACTGGTCTTGTGCTTGTCTATACCTTGTTATGGCAAAGGAAACTCGTATCATGACAAGATCTTTCATGATTATGAACAGTAGCTCAGCAATGGAATTCTCCTTTATGGGCCTGTTCCAAGAACTGTCAAAAAAATCTTTGAGTTCAAGCAGGACAGTTTTGATGACCCCCTTAAGTGGTTTAAAGAGTCCAATTTCTTTGTCAAGGTTCTCAGAGAAAGGAGGCAATTTCTCAAGGCACACAATATTAGTCCCCAACCTATCGGTCACTGTTATGAGACAAGCCTTGAGAGTCTGAGGGCTGAGGTCTATTAACTGCTCACAAGATTGATAACAGGGGAAGCTGCAAAGGAAATGCTGGATTTCCAATCAGTTTGACTATGTTTTACACTTCTTGCAATACCCCACAGTAGAACAGATGCTGCCCCATACATGATATTTCATCAGAAACTATTTGTCCTTTCTGATTTCATAAACAAAGCGAAAGGTAATTGCATCTGCACAAGCCAGGAAGCTGAAGCCCTTTCTCTTTTAACTCCCACTTAGTCTCAGCTCGTGAATTTCTCTTCTGCTTGATCAGGAAATTAGAGCAAATTATGTAGTTACCACAGGCTGTGCAGCCATCATACATCTATAATGTTTAAGTAACAGTGTTTAATTTTTTTTTAGGGTAAGCTGGTATTACTCTAGAGTAATAGTATCCAGTCTTTTCATCTCCTAAGTAAGATTGGTTCAAAGGTTTCTTTGTAGTAGGGTCTATAAGAAAATGCAACCCAAATATCCCAGGGAGGAATTGTGCAGTCTCATGCCAAAGCACTGTTTTGTCAGTGTTTCCCATGTATCAGACAGTACCTCAGCTCTTCCAAAGAAAAAATTAGGTGCACGTAGAGGTTTTCGAACTGTTGGGAAAGCAGTCAGCTTGCTGTTCCCAAAATGACTGACAGATAAAAGTAGTTCTCCATAGTGCAGGCTTTTGCCTACACAGGGAAGTGGCAGGAATTTTAATGCATTTTCAAGCCCAACCAGTTCTGGCTCTGCAGCACATGGTCAGACAGGTGACTGGGCCCAACATCTCAGCTCTTTTACCTGTTCCAAACAAATATTCCACACTACCACAGCCAGGCTGCTTTCCCCCACATCACCATGCTCTGATCTTCACAGTGGTTTACTAAAGCTTTGCTTACATCTCTTTCCAAGTAATTAATTTTGCAGTTCATCTAATGAGTCCCTCAGCGTTTCTTTTGCTGTAATGTAAGTTAATTCCCATGCTGTGACTACACAGCTGGCAAGTACAGACAGAAGCCTTAAACTGTATGAGGCTGTAGGTCTCAGAGATAACTCCTAAAATGTGCCACTAATAACCAGGCATGAGAACTATTTTAACATCTATTATTTATAAATATATAAGAAACCCCAGAATCAAAGATTAGAACTCAATGAGACAGGCATCATGTTCTTAGCACTGCTTACCCTTCAGAGCAGATTTTGCCATTTCAATGCAACCCTAGAAGCACAAGACATTCAAATCCATGTGACAAAATTAATCTACTGAAACATTTTGATGTATCAGAAGCTCTGAAGATCTGACCAGTGTTAATTAAGAATCCTGAAAAGTCCAAGTCTACAGACAGAAATTGAAAAGCAGGCAATGTTCAGTTCTGAATGCTGGAAGCACTGGCAACAGAATGGTGATATTATTTCTCCCCCCCAAAAATTATCTATTTTTTTTTTAAGGATGAAAACAAAGTTCACTTATTTTTTTTGGCCATACATCAATGCTCATATCATAGTTTTAAATCTGACATACTACTTCAGAAGACCTAAGAAACAACAGTCCTATTTATATTGGAATAACTACTCGTGCTTTTGTAACTAGTCTCGAGTTACATTATAAATGCTAATTAAAAGCTGGTTCACTGTAATCACACGGGGTCCAGATTTCTGGATTCTGCGACATTTGTCTTTCCCTGCCTTGACACATGAACACTTTCTAAACATTTGCCCACCACCACTGCAGCCTCATATGAGCAGTTACCTACTGCTACAATAGCAGAGATGAAAATAATATGTAATACAGTTACTCTACTTTTGCCAACTTCTGTATTCTTTTTGCACCCTCCACATTTCGTTTGCAATGTGTATTCCAGCCTCTTCCACTTCAGTCTTTTATATTCTTCCTTCAAAATACCCTCCTGGTATATCTATACCCCATTTCATTTTTTCACGTATTGAGGCTCTCCACCCTCAGTCCCATGGCAGCACCTTTGACTTTGCCCACCGCTGATCTGATATACTAAAAGGAATTCACTTTTGTAATTTACAAGACACAACTACAAACATTCTCTGCATCAAGGTTATGAAGTATCTTAAAAAACATTATCTGGGTCAAGTACAATTTATGTTACCTGCTTTTCTTAATTCTTTTTGCATTTCATAGGAGAGTACAGTAGATAATTTCAGATTTAAAGTGAACATGAAGGAAAACCAAACATTGCACTAGAATGTTACCATTCTACCACAACATCAAAAGAGTATTATGCATGTCCCAGAAGTGGTGTAAGAGGTGATTTATTATTTTGGACACTGTACTTGTTATAAAGATACCACGTCTGAAATTAATCACAGGCTCATACAGCCTTAATTATTCATCCATACACTCTGTTCTAAAGGAATCTTCCTACATTCTTCAGCATATTTGATGGCCAGTGCAGAGTTCTGTAGCACTAAAATCCCTTGCAAAGATTCAAGTGAGCAAAACCTTTTCATCTCACGTTGTAATGTCCTTATGTTGACCACTCCAACAATTTTCAGAGGTGTGCATAGAAAAAAGGGTAAATGTAAAGCAAGTTCTTCTATAAAACCTAAAAGTAATTTTTCTTTCTTTAGTAAAAACCTCTGTAGTATTGACTTTAAGTAATTAAATGAGCTTCTTCCTTAAATATGGCAAAATTAGCTGGCCATATTATCCTTTAGTCTCCCTTCCAAAGAGTCTTCCTGACCTTAGAAATAAAAGATGTTCCCAGAAAAAAACCACCTAAACACGTGAATGGAGCAGTTTAAACTGAAAGTAACTGTCAGATGGTGTTGATCAAGGTGGGCTCTTCCAATGCCAGCAGCCATTTTAATGACTGGATGACTAACGAGAAAACTGCCGATTGTCTGACTTCTTGCTGATGTGTTTGAAGATTTTCGCTTTGTGGACACTCTTGGACTTCTGGTAACCAAATCCTCCACCTCCACCTCTTTTCTGAAGTCTTCTGCCATGGTTGCTGTTCACATCTGAAGTTTTATTGGTTAAAGAACTTAAAAAGGGATAATTTCGAATGTTGTTTTTTTGGGTTTTGAAAGGGTTATTAAAATGAGGAAAAAAATACCAGCATTAAACAAAAAGCTGAGTTGCAAAACTATAGAGGAAACCAGAACTACATGCCTGTGGTTGTAAATACTCCTGCAGTTGTCCAAAGTGCTATTGCTTCAAGTTCCATCCACTGCCAGGTCTGACAGTAATCTAGATACAGCCTTCTATTTCATGCTTTTGCCCCTCTATGTCAATATTCCACGACTATGAAACATAAGGGTGCGCATTTCCATGAAAATAATTTTGCACAGAGGAGAACAGTACTTTGGAACACGTGTGCATTCCAGTATCTGCTGCCCCACAGCAATTGAGGCACACACAGCATGGACATGCACCAAAACACAGATGCTTGTAGGCAATTTTTGCAGTTATAGTACGTGCAATGTAACATTTTCTTTGATAAACTACTGTGGGAGCATGATGGATTCCAATCGTTAATAGCAAAAAAAAACCCCACAACTACAAACCATCAGAACCTGAGGTAGCACAGGATCTCAGTAAGTTGCACAGAACACTTATAATGCAGAAATTCAACTCTGAAACACCGCAGTAAAAGGATACTGAGGTCAACAAACGGAGGAACTTTAAAACCAAATGAAAGGCTGACTTTGGGAAGATCCAAATTATTGACATTATAGATCTGCTTCAGAGAATGGGAGTCATAAGCTCTAATGTAAGCTTTGTATGCCTCCTGGGCTGACTTGTGAAGGAAATAGTTCTTCTCTATCAGTTTTTCCA